AGGAAACTGTCAAAGCTCTTGACATCAAGCTCTAGGAATACAAGGTTTCATTTGTGTTCTTAGACCCAGCGGTAGACCTGGGTCTTGCCAGGACAAGACATCCTAGTGAGTGTTATTTTAGTCTGGTCACCAAGGTACTGTGGCCCTCCAGCCCTGAGAGAGCAGGCCCTCTGGAACCAGCAGGCCTCCAGCAGCACAGCAACAACTTAGCATGGGGCGTTAAGAATAGAGGCCAGTCAATCACAGCCCTCGTCTTTTCTCAGCTTTCTCACTCACTCATTTTAACACCCAACAGCCCTGTTTCTTCCTTTACCATTAAAAACAAAAATTGCGTTATGGAACATAGCTGTTAAGTATGGGGGCTTGGCTAATCCTGTAATACATCCGACACACTGAAGGGAGATGGTTAAGAAAAACTCGTGTGAGCCAAACATTGCACATGGTTGTGTCAAGCAGCTAAACAGGATAAGCTAGAAAGAACCATGCTGTTCGCTGCTCTCAACACTATCAAGATTTATCACCAAGTCTTAAGATTATAAGATTATTTATAGGTGATTTCCCCATGGGGGAAGTGATCTCTATATTTCTTCTCCCCTAAAATGGATTCAGAAAAAATAATGTTATTCCAGTAAAAAAAATTTGAGATGTGCTTCAGCTTCTGTCCTGAGGAAATTACCAAGCCTGGAGGAAGGGTGCTAGCAATTGCCTGCCACCATGTCACTTTCCAGCATCCAGAAACTTCCCCCGTGCCAGGTGGACCCCCTCTGGAGGGGGGACACAAAGAGCAGAGAATCCGCAGAAACCACACCTTTGGGAAGCAGACACCATCGTACCCCACTACTGCCAATGCGAACCCACTTACCTAGTTCATCTTTTGATCTCCCTGATGCAAAAAATGATCGGCTCAGTTCATAGCCACCGAAGAAGAAGAAATAGCCGGGTACTTCCCGAAGTAAAGTGCTGGAGAGTCCATGGTAGAAGCCCAAGGGGCCATCCTTTCTAAGGATACTCTTCACGACAGACCAAACTGTACTGGGAGGAGACACGAAGTGAGAGACACTGTTACAGCAGGTGGGGAAGGAAGGAGGACAATTAATACTCATACCCAATTAACAGATTTGATCAAGCACTAGTAAGGAAGCAGCTGATTTTGTAAAAAAAAGGAACCAGGAATTCTGAGAATAAAAGGCATCCTCTGTGTGAAGGAAGTATCTCAGAGAGCATAGTTATAACAAGTTTTGTCACCTAAATTATTGGTTAAGAAATTTTATTAAAATGGATGCATACATTTCTAGAAGTCACATTATCAAAGATGTAAAAGCTAATACTCATTTTTTCAACAGTGAATAAGTACAAACTATAATTACAATAAGGAGTTGTATAAACTCGGCAAGAATAAAATGGTATTGTATTGCCCAGTCCCTTGTCTTGTTTGCTATTTCCTCAAACTTTGTGGTATGTTTTTGGGAAATCTGTTCAACTGTTTAGAGTTTTTGTTTTGTTTTAGAGCAGAGAAATGAGCAAAGGAGTAAATGTTACTCGAAGGCAAGACAAAAGACATTATGAGAACTGAGCTACAGCTCTTATTATACAAAAAGCACTAAAAATTTAATTCTTAGAGCAGCAGGGATGCAGGAGAATTTCTTTTAAGCAGATCAGAGCCTTGCCCCTATAGCAGCCAGAACACAGAACACTTTTTGTCTACCAATTCCTCTTCACAACAGTGGGTACCGCGGCAGGTCTTATCCCTAAGAACAGGGTGAGACGTCACATGCTTGTATGACCTAGGGACTCCTTCTCTCCTCACTCCTCATGTTCTAGGGGGTGGGCGGTGAGTGCCACTATCACGGACATACTTTCAGAAAATTATCCTCTTATCGGGGAAAGAGTTCTAGAAACAATATTTTGGAGTAGATAAATCTGTTTCCCTATCTGCCACTTAACTTTTAATGCAGTGTGAAATGAAAAAACACCCAATACACCAAGGCAACAGAGACCTAATGTTCGTGCCGGAGTGGTGCTTACTTCTGGCTTTTGGTTATCTTTCCCGATGTCTCCATCTCAAACATGGTCTGCAGCCGGCACTTCACAAGCTCTGTGGGGCACAGCACCAGCGCAGCAAAGGCAGAGGCGAAGGAGCCAGCAGCTGCATTCTGCAGATCACTGAAATCACACAAGAACAGATAGCTGCCAGTCAGCATCTCCATGCCTTCAGCACTCACCACACTGAGGGCACTTTGGTGAAGAAGGGGCATAAGGAGCCCGGCATGGAGGTGCGTGCCTACAGTCCCAGCTACTCGGGAGGCTAAGGCCTGAGGATAGCTTGAGCCCAGGAATCGGAGGCCGCAGCACACTATGATCACGCCACTGCATGCCATGGCATGATCAGGCGATGTTGTCTCACCAGGGCAACACAGCAAGACCCCATCTCTAAAAAAGGAGTGTAACGACAACTGGAGAGAACCTGCACATGCTGTTTCATCTAAGGATCCCACAATCCTGTGAGATGGACAGCAATACCTCAATTCCCATATGGGGAAGTGAGGCCTAGAGACGATACATGATGTGGCCAAACTCGCACAGATACTAACTGGCAGTGCTAGGATTCAAACCCAGGTCTGCCTGACTGCCACGCCCATGCTCTTTTTATTAGACACAATGCTAGGACAGTCTATAATAATTTGTCATAGCTGCCCAAGCTAAGACACACAGTGACATACAAAATAAAAACCCCCAGAAAACCCTGAAGGACAGGGGGGAAAATCACCCATAGTCCCACCACTGAAATATATGCACAATTAATATGTCAGTGTACTTGCCACTAAGCTTTAAATAAAACTATGTTCTGAGGCCATCGCTGCATGCCCAAATTCCAACCCGGAGCAATCAGACGTGTAATGGAACTGCCAGAGATGAAAGCCCAGAACAAATTTTTAACCACACAGTTGCTACATGGCAAAAAGATTTCCCAGCTCAGCAAATGGCCCCCCCGCCCCCCCCCCACCTCAGCCTCAGCAACACAGAAGGCAAGATGGTGTTGCAGGGGTGGGTGATGCCCATGCAAGTCTGCAAGCTCAGTGGCTTTAGGTGAAATGGCTAAACTGGAAATTAAACTAGGCAGAGGGATGATGCACACAAATACAAAA